AATGGCAAAATAGTACACTTTTGATAAAGAACTCCCTGTATGTTTCAGCCAACTTTCATAAGTAATTACTTAAACTGCTGTAAATACACTATAAACCCTTTTCCTCAGTCAGTTCAATTATGTTCTAATTTAAAAACAATGAATAACGAGAATCTAAGCTGCTGAACAAATCCATGGTTAAATCCACAGAGCTGATATCATTTACAATCCTTAAACCCAAGAAGTTGCTCCTTTGCTTCTATTAAGAAAACACTTTGTCAGTATGTAGCAGTAATCAGCACACCATTAATGTACCAGACAGAGTCTACTTTCTAATCTATCTTCCAAATAAGTATTCAGTGGTGTCTCGTACACACATTATGTAAAAGGAGCAGCCAGGAGTCTAGACATAAACTTAACTTTATGGAATATTGGAAATATATTGTGAGTTTGATGTGCTTAAGTGCTAGACATTCCAGTCAAAAATTATTTGTAAATTGTAGTCTCAAATGTTGCTATGAAAAAAAAAAAAAGAATTCAAGAAAGGCACCTACACGAACAGATGCTGCAGGCAACAAATATCTAAAAGAATCTGTAAGTCTGCAACCTACAAAAATCCATGATTGTTTCAGGTGTTGAAAAATGTTTCAGGTGTTGAAAATAAGCATCTAGTATTAGTAATACCATCTTTTATCATCAAATCCAATATTCTGTTGGCATATTAGTAACAAGAATTTGTAAGAAAAAATATCTAGTATGATCTCCCTTTCTGCAGCCAGCCTACAGCCTTGCCCTTGCTACAGCTTAGACCTTCCAAGTATCACCCCCACAGTTTGTCACCTGACCCTGTCCTTGGTGCTGAACGTGGCTATCCATTACACCACAGGGCAGCAGGTTCTCAATTAGACCTTCTCTGGGCATTTCTACACAACTCAAATGTTCCACATCAACAAGGCTTCATCTTAAGATATATTCTAGCTGGTAAGCAACATCTCTATGCCAGTAGTAAACCTATATTTTTCACAAACACTTAGTCTACCAAAATCATTAGTTTGCATGCCATACTCATAAAGTAAAGTTCACTCCAATACTTTTTCACATCCAATAAACTTAATCAGGGTATAAAAACAAGTACTTTACATGCATACCGCAAACTGTGCTTGTAATTTACGAGTAGAGCAATCTGAAAACATACAACAAAGTTTGGCTTCTAGCCCGAAACGAAGTGCTAGAACTCTGTGGAGTTTTTCTTGTAGCTCCATCGGCACCATTTAGAAAATGAGGTCATTCTTGTGCTGTAATCTGTATTCTGCCTGATGTTCAATCTAAATGGACTTGTCTGCACACTGCTGCAAGTCATGCCAAGAAAAAGGCAGCTTCTGGCAGGGCGAAGTGAATTAAACTTCATGTTTAACACATTTCAACAAGAAACCTGAGATTTCAGACATCCAGTATGTATTTTGGTTTTTTTGTGACCTACCAGTTCACAGACCTCATTTGTTTGTATGATGCAATTTGATCAGGTATTACATCACTTCCCATACCACCCACTGGGTCACCTTCAGGCGTGACCCCCTATCAATCAACTGTCAAAATCAACCTCCCACCCACCCTGCAATGGAAGCTATATGGATAGACACACAACACAACACAACACAACACAACACAACACAACACAACACACTTCTGTACCCTGAAATAATGGATGGAAAAAGAGATAAGAAACAGTGAACTAAGTAACGCCATGGTTACAAAAATTCCCCAAGGGATGGTACTCCATCCAAGTTTCCTGATCAAGTCACTGCCAAGTGCCATTGGCAAATTCCTTTGGGCATTGAGATAACTTTGAAGGCATGCTGCGAGAAGCAAATTCTAGAGACACTAAGGTGACAGCCATCTCTAGCATGTACAAATGTATTTCACATCACGCATCACTGCACAGAGTGGGCCAAGAATGTACATGGGTGCATTAGTGCAGTTTATGAAGCATTACTGTAGACTGGGTGGCGAAATGGGGTACATAGACAAACAGGGACCATTTAGAGTGGCTAGGCTGGCAGACATGAGACTGAGAGGTCACGGGTTTGATTCCTGGCAAGACGTTTGTGTCCTTGGGAAAGGCACTTGACACAACTTTGGCATAAAATGGGTATTGTACATGATGGTTTGGGAGGTAAAGTAAAAGGGGGTACGAAAAGAGGGATGGGCTCTGCCTTCCAATACTGTGCCCTAGACACAGTGGACTAACAACCCATTGCCCCAATGGTTTGAAAAAGGCTATGGGACTACCATTATATTACTAGTACATGTACTAATATCTTCCCATGTACAGTATGCTAACTACAATACCCGGTACCACCACTTCTTACTACATTAAGCACTACAACACCGTATCTTACAAAATCTCTGCCTGTTAACCTGAAGGTCAGACAAGATCTGACCTCCAGATGCCCCAGCCTTCCACCAACATTTCTACAGATGTCTGAAGGTCACATGAAATATTAAGTCATCCTGAAGGCTGGAGCACTGGCTACAGGGACCAGGGCTGGAAATAACCAAGCGAATATGTGGTTTAGTGCAGGTAAACTTGGAGCGGTGCAGCACTGGTATTTCTGATGTCTACCTGCATCTAACCTGCACTGGTCCATGTACTGGGTATATGCAGGTTAGTGCGGGTAAAATTGGAGCTGTGCAGGTATTTCTTATGTCTACCTGCACCTAACCTGCACTGGGCCATGTACTGGGTATATGCAGGTTAGTGCAGGTAAAATTGGAGCTGTGCAGGTATTTCTGATGTCTACCTGCACCTAACCTACACTGGTCCATGTACTGGGTATATGCAGGTTAATGCAGGTAAAATTGGAGCTGTGCAGGTATTTCTGATGTCTACCTGCACCTAACCTGCACTGGGCCATGTACTGGGTATATGCAGGTTAGTGCGGGTAAAATTGGAGCTGTGCAGGTATTTCTGATGTCTACCTGCACCTAACCTACACTGGTCCATGTACTGGGTAAATGCAGGTTAGTGCAGATAAAATTGGAGCTGTGCATGTATTTCTGACCACTACATGTACCTGTTATCTAAAATTTAGTAAAAAGGTTATCATTTTGCTTATACTTCACAGTGATTATTCACAAAAATGGTGACTCAACAACATCTATTTGTTTCCACACTTTCCCTGTTACCAGTTCAAACTTTCATTAGATAATGTCTTTTTCCACAATACATGTATTTCTACACTTTTTATTATTCTAACAAAACCTTACCTAACATTAACAATATCACCAAGATCTACTGCTGCTGCTTCTCTATCAATTATTCATCACAACCACTGGAGAAATCAAAAGAAGGGATCACCATAAAAGCAGACCCTGTGTGCTGGCTTCTCCCTGTAACATGCACCAGAGTGAATCAGGATTAGTTTTATGACATGTTCATTATGCTGTGTCTTCTCATGTATGACTCTGGCGGTACCAGCAAGCCTCAAGGGTCAAGGGGCATGAAATATTCACAGCTTCACTGTTGCTATCGGACAGGGTATGATGTAAGCTCTAAAACCTCTGTGTCTATATTATACAAATTGCTCAAATCTTCTGATTTATTGCAAATAGCAAAAATGATAACTTCACTAAATACCGGGTATATAAGGGTATGCAATAATGATGAGCATGCAATTTTTGCACCAGGCCCTGGTTAAATTTTGCAATAAACCTGTGCGCTTTATTTGTTCACATTCTCTTGCAACAACTAAAATGTTTAGCTACATCTTTGACTCTCATTATACTGATGTCCTTTCCAGACTTAGAACTCATGATTTTGACCACCTGACATGGTGGTGGAATAGCAAGGTCACAGAACCCCATGAGAATCAGCTGATGTTTACTGCATTATTAATCACAGTTTAAAATCTCTTTTTTTGGGCCATGATTGTGTACTGGGCAGCCTGGGAAAAATCCAGGTCGCACAGTGCTATGGTTCTTGTCAGCAGGTGTCTACCATCTCTAAATATAATTTCACCAAGCAAATGGTAGATTGGAGTCAGCAACAAGTCCTAGTCTCACACAAACAAAATTTATGCATTAAGTGTTTCATACAGTATGTTGGTACAATATTACTGGGTGTGTGCCAGAATTAAATATCTGTAACGTTACTATCATTAGTCATCTGACAGGAATGGTGCCACATTTACAAACAGGGAGACAGCTCATATTTTAGATGTTTCCTGATTACATATCCTCAGAAAATTTTTGTCTCTGAGTCTGCACACTAGAAATACAAGACTATGCATAACTTACACAAAATGGACAGCTGTACTTAATGCTGTATTGGAGATACTGCCTATATGATTAACAGAATTGAAGCAACTGATAATGCCCTCCTAAATCTTTATAATATCTAATTAGTATATAACTGACAAAGTATAGTCAAAGTGGCAATTCAAGGAGGGGTATTTCTTAATTGTTATACACCCCAAAGCTAACAACTGTCGGTTTCTCAAGTAAGATACAGTACAAATTAATTTTGATGCAGTGATTAGAGGCATTATAGCAGCAGTAACTAGCATATGCCCCCCCCCCCCATGGAACTACTTTAAATTTTCGATTTGGACACGCCCCTTTCCTCCACATATAGGCAAACAAAAATATTTTTGCAGCATCCAAAGCAGTCTCCTGTTGGTACCTTCAAATTGTGATTTTTCTCTAACTATTAAACTACTAGTATGTAACGGTACTTTCCTTTTGGCAACGAATAATTTTCTGAAAGCTTGCCAATTTTTGCCTCAACGCAATCTCAAATCTGATGTAGTTTTAGTGTCAACAGAGTTTCGGAATAACTTTTCCTTCGTTCCTCAAAGTGGTACGATGCTTTCCAAAAGTCGGGGCACCCAGGGAAACAAATTATGACTTGGACTTCGTGCAAAACGAGAGCAACACAGGCCAACGCCGTGAATCTGCTTGACGATTTACTGCGGCGACTGAAGCTTTTCGAATCGCCAAAGTCCACCCCTAACGTTACCTACCTCACGGTTCCGTATCTTCCTCGCTAAACTGACAGCCGTCTCCAAGAGTAGAGGGTTTTCCACGGGTGGTACAGACCTGGGGCCGGGACTTCGGGAGCTGAACATCCCTGACTAGACCGAATTTTGCTCGAATTTCTGGGAGAAATATCAAAACAAACCCGCCTTCCTTCGCTACTGGATGTGACCTGAACTGTTGCGCAAGGCAGACGGGTTGCATAATTTGTACCCGCAGATTCGGGCTACTTATGAAGCAAAAATACAAAATATCGAAATTATTTTATTCACGTACACAATCAAATATTTTTTAAATGATAAACTCAAATATTTGTCATCTTTTGTATAAAACTGCCCATTACCAGCTAAAGCTAGCGGAAGAAATGAGTCAGCGGAAAAACATTACGTCATTAGATGGTACCTTTTATTGAGGGGGGCGTTCGGAATGCCTGCCTAAAAATATTCCACGAAAGACAATATTCTAGTCACCATTCCACAAATGTAATAAAACAACTTTACATATAAATTATTTTTTATCGACAAATGTGTGTATCATTAAGCGCTATCATAGAACATATGAAATATTTTGAAAGCACACCCCCCTAAAATAATGGACCCCTCCGAGGGGAATCCCCCTCGTCTTTTTACCATAAATAGAACTGGTTTTTCCAGACATTTCGAGTTACGCATCAAGTTTACCGTTACTAGTGGCTTCATGGTGGCGCACAAAAGTTGTAAGTATTCGTTTCCTCGTGATTTTAGTCCATGTTTTTCTTGATGTAGACAGAAGCTGCTAAATGACCTAAATACAGCGTCCATTCTGTACTGTAACCAGTCAACACATACTTCGGTATTTACCTGAACAAAGGTGAAACCTTTGATTCGTTCAACCGCCATGCAAGACAGGCGGCCATTTTATTCCACGATGACGACTATAAAATCTAGAGCATATTTAAGTCAAATTTGGACTGATATGAGACTGATATAAAGATTTGGAACCTCTAAGAGCTAGACTGGGTGCCTTTCCGTGGTTTAACGGAAAGTATTCCTAGTTTGCTATGTACAAGTTTAATTTTACAAGTTGCTTGTGAATTCCGTTTCCTGTGGCAAATATGTTACATTCAGCGTCATCCAAAGCCTAAAATCATGTGTAAAATTTAAAGAGTGAAACATCAATCCGTCAGAAGTAAAGCTGTTCAACACAGATACGTTCTAGTGTTAGTTTCTGGTCTCGAAGCCATGTGGTTGGTTTCGACCGAAACAAATCCACACATGGCAATTAATGGCGACGTGTCACGGCTAGTATCGTAATTATCATGTGATCTTAATCAAGTCGATGACTCAGCAGTAAACCAAACATTCTTTAAACGTAATTCTTAAGTTTCCCCCGTATAATGTGTTGCTTTATATATCTATTGCTTGGCGTCAGTCGCAAGCCTGGGCTTTTCCATATATGGGGGATTTCCAAGAACAAAAGGGGCGTAACGCTAAACTACTGGTAGTAAAAAAGCCCGGAAGGAAACGCTGAAACCCCCTACAAGGAAATTGGGAATTCCCATCACAATAGTCTTTCTGTTGCATATTACAATTTCTATTTTTATCAGGCTGATCAGCCAGAAGCAAGGTATAAAATACTGTAGGGTTTCTAATCTTTTTTACTGAAGAACACCTACAGGTGAGCTGGTGATGTCCTACAATTACAACTTTTATGATGAAGTTTGGTTTCCTGTCAATGCCATTTCCTTAACTCTTATGTCATACTCATAGCTAGGAGTTAGATTACTTAAGTATGGCCAGTTTTGATCTGAGACTCTGAAGAAATCAAGCTATACATGATAAATGGGATTCAGTAGCAGAACGCAAAGAGGAGTCTCCCTTTTCACAAGGCAGAGGATTGGGTTACTTTTAGAAAGATAAGTGTAGCCTGCTAGATGTGCGTTGAAGTATAATTCAGACCTTTAATGTCTTTTCTGTGTTGTTGCAGGTCAACACTACAAGTCAAAGGTGCATCAAAAACCAAGAAAGGATGGAGAACAAACTACCAGGCAGCTTGTCCTCCTCCAACCCGGTTAAAAGTGGTAAAATCCGGGACCTCCTGGTAGCAGGATTCCAGTGGACAGCAGGAGGGATTGGCTACGTAGCAGGACTGACTGCTCACACCATCCTGCTGCCATGTCTGGCTCTGTTTCCTCAGGCTTTCCAGGACCTCCTGCAGAAAATCTTCATCGATCGCTTCATGCAGGTAATCTTCAGGGAATATTAACCTTCAGCCTGCTTTCATTTACAAAAGTAACAAAAGCCTTCAAAGACTCTTCAAATATGACCAATGCAGATAGGTTGATTGTAGTAACTGAGGTTCAGCAAAGTTTGTTTGTTAAAGTATTTCATTAATTTCATGACTTTACCAGTGTGTAAACTTTCTTCTAATAGTATGGTAGTACACATATGAATCACTAATAGAGCTTCTTGTTTATCATCACTAATTAAGGTGTTTGTTTGCTGTTGTTTCCCTACAGAAAACCCTGGAAGAAGCCCATGTGTTGAACTGGTGTAGAACGGCCAGACCACTGACACCCATTCAGACCTTAGGTATTGTATAATCTGATCTACATTAGCATATACATATACATGTAATGAAAACATTTTTGTTTCATAAACAACGAGGTTGAACTGCTAGACATCTTGTAGATTTCTATAGAAACTAATCATTTTCTAGTAAACTTTCATCTGAAACTGATCCCTATTCATAGCCACTACCATTTTAATAGCTATTCATTAGAAAAAAAAAAGACTAATAAGTGAAGGGATTTTCCATCTGTTTCCAGGGGATGGGAACTGCCTGCTGCATGCGGTATCAGTGTACATGTGTGGTACAGATGACAAAGACCTGGCCCTACGCCGGCTGCTCTTCCGGGCCATGCGGGAGGACATGAGTGAGGAGATGAAACAGCGCTGGGATCGGCAGTGCAGGGCCAGGAATGCAGCAGTACCAGGACATCTGGAGTATGGGTCAATGGTAAGGACAGGAATTTGAAATGGTACAGAATTGAAGCTTGATATCCCTTCTGTGATAGTAATCAATTAAGCTTTACTTCAAACAGCAATAGCAAGATATCCTGAATTCTATCCTGTCTACCATGCAAATTACACTTTGTCTCCTTTATGTCCTAACATACCAACATTACTTTTTTCAAAATTCGAAAAGGAATGGCGAGATGAGTGGAACATCATGGTCTGCATGGCAGATGCCACGCCCAACCCTCCTGAGGCCAATGACCTCCCCTACAAGTCCCTTGAAGAGTTCCACATCTTTGTCCTGGCCAACATCCTTCGCCGACCGATCATCATCCTTGCAGAAGACGTCCTTCACAACTTTGAGGGTCACACCTTCGCACCGATCCACTTCAGTGGAATCTACCTTCCCCTACGCTGGAAGCCTGAAGAATGTGTGAGATCTCCCATAGTTCTCGGGTACCTACAGCAGCACTTCACACCCTTACTGAGCCAAGAGGAGGCCCCAGCACCCATAGGTCTGGCTACAGGAGAGTTTGCTGTCCCTCTGGTCAAACATGATCTCACCATGCTAACAGTGCAATTTCTACTTGAGCCTGAAGAAAACCAGGCAAGAGAGCTTCTACAGAAGTACCTGGATCTGATAGAGCTGCCCTATACAAGAAAGGAGTCCATCTCCATGGTCCTGGCAGCCAAGCTGAACCTAAATCCTCCTCCTGAGGAGCAAGATCTCATCAAAGACTTTTTCCAGGCAGTGGAGAAAACTTATAAGAAGCCAGAGGAGATTCAGGAAGCTGCAGAACCAGAAAAAGTTGCTCAAAATACGATACCACCACCAGCTGTGAAGAAAGAGAAAACTGAAGCTGGAAAAGAAGGGAAGAAATGCAGCTCTGCTGGCTGTGACATGTATGGTACACCTGAGCAAAATGGACTTTGCACAAAATGTTTTAGAGAAAGTACAGTCTCAAAGAAGCCACCAGGACCAGCTGAAGCCCCGGCAATGCCGGCTGATGTTGTTCCAAATTCCTCCATGCTGATGAGGGAGTGCAGGACCCCTGGGTGCCAGTACTTCTGCTCTATTGCCACTGGAGAATATTGTCACGAATGTTACGAGAAAAATACTGGTGATCAGCGTAGGAGGGAGGTGGAGGCAGGAAGAGCCACTCAGACTGCAAAAGAAGTTCAGCCACCAGCTGGCAACCCTAACAAGTGCATCACTGAAGGCTGCAACAATGACAGCAACCCTGATAATGAGAACCTCTGTGATGTCTGCTTCATCAACGTTGTGACAAAGTCAGGCCAGCCTCCATCTGTGCATCCCCTCAAGCAAACCGAGCGATCCTCCAGTCTGGGAATCATCCCTACCACACCAGAGCCACTGCACAGTGTGGAGAACAGGACCAACAGTCAGAGTCTGGGCCACATCAGCGACTTTACTCATCCAGTCAAGTGCATCATCCCAGAGTGTCCCAGGACAGGCTACCCCAAAACCAACGACATGTGTAAGAAATGCTACATTGACCAACAGGGCAGAGTTGCTGGTGCTGTTGCTGCAGCTGTCACAACTGTGGCTACAGTTCCGACTCAGCTCAGCTCAACATTTACGTCTGCCAAGACATCTACGCCTGGAGGGTCCCCACCTGCAAGACTGTAGG